TACAGCGGAATTGGTTTTTGGTGACTGTAGCCAAATTGCACTGAAATTAATGAAGATTTTAACCTACTAGTCTAGCCACTCAGATTTTATGCAGGCAATGAGAACAATTAGGTCCATGAAACAAGTAATCATGAGCCTTACAAAGAATAGCAAATACCAAAATCTCAAGTGTTGCCTAATATCAGAATTTTAAGACATATGCACAAATAATTTAGACTTAAAATTAGGAAATTTGAAGAATGTCATATAGCCACTTTATTATCATAACACACAAAGGCCTCAATCAGGATTAGTCCCCATTTTGCTTGGCACTGTATAAAATCTTATGAAGACAGTCTCTGCCTCAAAGTACTTAACTGGAGGATTCTCTGCACCTTGAAGTCTTTAAACCACGAGTTGAGGACTTCAGTAGCTCAGACATAGGTCAGGGGTTTGTTACAGGAGTGGGTCGGTGAGATTCTGTGGCCTGCATTGTGCAGGAGGTCAGACTAGATGATCATAATGGTCCCTTCTGACCTTAAAGTCTATGAGTCTATAACTAATTTGACACTTAAGAAGTGGGTGCAACAAAGAGGAGGAAGAGGATATGGGGAAAGACCTGGGTAGCAATAATAAGATGTTACCCCACAGATAAGAAACTTGGACAACTTGATTCCAAATCCTTCATTACTTCAATTTTTAAAAATATATGGGGACAGATGAGGGGTGAGAAAAATGGCATTAATAAAAGAGGAGATAATAAACATAAGGGAGGAAGAGGAAAGGATGGAGAGCAAAAAATGACAGTGGAGGTTGAAGAAGAGAAGTCAGGAGCATGCAGCTAGTCAACAGATAATTACGCCCAAAATTCAAACCGTAAAAGGTAGTCTGCAAACTGGGATGTGGATGTGCCTCACCCTTTTTCCTACTTCTGCAAATGGTGCTTACTGGGCAAGCTGTGGTGCTTCTGTAGACTGACAACACTTCTGGGGGTTATCTTTCCCAGCCCACATGGAGTTTACCAGTGTTTAGTACCTTAAGTGGGGAGTTGTATTCCTGGAAGGCTGGGGGGAAAAGGGCCAACAGCACCAGGGCCCCATGCTCAGGGAGGTAGGCAACATTTCTGATGTCTGAATAAATAAAGTGAAATAGGAGGGGGTGGGGTCCCAACGAACCTGATGTATGAGGGTCCCAAATTGCTCTAGAGCACTGCTTGGCAACCTGCGGCCTATCAGGGTAATCCACTGGCAGGCCGCAAGACGCTTGGTTTACATTCCCGCAGTTCCCATTGGCTGGGAACGACGAACCACGACCAGTGGGAGCTGCGGGTGGCTGTGCCTGTAGATAGTCAATATAAACCAACTGTCTCGCAGCCTGCCAGCGGATTACCCTGACCACAGGTTGTCCACCACTGCTCTAGAGGGGACTGACTGGAAAGGATTCCCCCTCATCAAGTCATAGCAGAGGGGTGGCTTCACCAAACTGAAAAGGGGATCCTGTGCAAATGTGCATTGACTGATCCAGGCTTGATTTCTGTAGGTGTGACTGTACTCACTGACCCCAGCTAAAACCACTCCTGCTGTTCAGGCAAGAGACTCATTCTATATTTGCACAGGGCATACATAGCATTACAGGGCACTGAAGTTGGAGACTTTGGCAGTTACTGCAATACAAATAAATCTAACAATTTTCTCAGTCTCTACTCCTTGAATGTGCCAACTCCATTAGTGACAAAACAGTTATTACTGAGATTATGGGAAAAGCAGTTGATGGAAGAATTACAATGAAAAAAGTAATTTTTCAGACAAACAAGAAATTTGCATTTCTTTAAGCTGCATGCATAATGGCTGCAATCAACATTATACCAAACAATGACCTACTTTGTTTCCTTACAGCTATTCTGTTTAGGTTTAATTCCCCATAATTCTTACATTGTGTATTCCTTTCATCTCACCACCACCACTATTCTGACACACAAAAAAATAATGCATTGCTATTAGGGCAGTCGATTAATCGCAGTTAACTCACGCGATCAACTAAAAAAAAAATAATCGCGATTCATCACACTGTTAAACAATAGAATACAAATTGAAATTTATTAAATATTTTGGATGTTTTCTACATTTTCAAATATATTTATTTCAATTAAACACAAAATAAAAAGTGTACAGTGCTCACTTTATATTTTTTATTACAAATATTTGCACGCTAAAAAAAAACAGTATTTTTCAATTCACCTCATGCAAATACTGCAATTGCAATCTCTTTATTATGAAAGTGCAACATACAAATGTATTTCTTACACAACTGTACTCAAAAACAAAACAATGTAAAACTTTAGAGCCTACAAGTCCACTCAGTCCTACTTCTTGTTCAGCCAATCGCTCAGACAACCCACTTCTTAATTACAATGTCACCTGAAAGTGAGAACAGACATTTGCATGGCACTGTTGTAGCTAGCGTTGCAAGATATTTACGTGCCAGATGCGCTAAAGATTCACTATGCCTCTTCATGCTTCAGCCACCATTCCAGAGGACATGCTTCCATGCTGATGACGCTTGTAAAAAAAATAAAAAATGCATTAATTAAATTTGTGACTGAACTCCTTGGGGAAGAACTTTATGTCTCCTGTTCTGTTTTACATGCATTCTGCCATATATTTTATGTTATAGCTGTCTCGGATGATGATCCAGCACATGTTGTTCATTTTAAGAACACTTTCCCTGCCAATATGACAAAATGCAAAGAAGATATCAATGTGATATTTCTAAAGATAGCTACTGCACTCGACCCAAGGTTTAAGAATCTGAAGTGCCTTCCAAAATCTGAGAGGAATGAGGTGTGGAGCATGCTTTCAGAAGTCTTAAAAGAGCAACACTTCAATCCGGAAACCACAGAACCCAAACCACCAAAAAGAAAATCAACCTTTTTCTGTTGGCATCTAACTCAGATGATGAAAATGAACATGCGTCGGTCCACACTGCTTTGGATCGTTATTAAGCAGAACCCCGTCATCAGCATGGACACATGTCCTCTGGAATGGTGGTTGAAGCATTAAGGGACATATGAATCTTTAGCGCATCTGGCATGTAAATATCTTGCAATGCCGGCTACAACAGTGCCATGCAAACGCCTGTTCTCACTTTCTGGTGACATTGTAAACAAGAAGTAGGAAGCATTATCTTCTGCAAATGTAAGCAACTTGATTGTTTAAGCAATTGGCTGAACAAGAAGTAGGACTGAGTGGACTTGTAGGCTCTAAAGTTTTACACTGTTTTATTTTTGAATGCAGGAGGGTTTTTGTACATAAATCTACATTTGTAAGTTGCACTTTCATGATAAAGAGATTGCACTACAGTACTTGTACTAGGTGAATTGAAAAATACTATTTCTTTTGTTTTTTACAGTGTAAATATTTGTAATAAAAAATATAAAGTGAGCACTGTACACTTATTTTGCGTTGTAATTGAAATAAATATATTTGAAAATGTATTTGAAACATATTTGAAAATCCAAAAATATTTAAATAAATGGTATTCTATTATTGTTTCATCACAATTTAATTTTTTTTAATGGCTTGACAGCCCTAATTGCTATTACACAAAATGAGACCAGCAACTCTACTCCCCATAAGCACTTGCACAAACTAGTGCTGTCTTGGTATGGGACGAGAAAGCAACTTTCAGTTTTCTTTTAATACATGAAGATGCAAACAAGTGACAGTGTTTTCAGTGGGGGAGGGGAGGGAGAGAAACAATCAGTAAGTTACCTAAACACAACTCAAACAGCCTGATCAAAATGTTAAACAGAACTCTAAGATGTCAGCAACTAAAACATATTTACCTTTTCTATTATAATTCCACTCTGAAGTCTGAATAAAGTCCTTTTGAAAATGCAAAGGTCTGTTTATCACAATTTGCAGGAAAACTTCACCAGCACATTGACAGAAACAAAAAGAGCAGTAGAAAGGAAAACCTGTTTTCTCATATAACCTGTATTGAATGTTTTTTTATAAACAAATCCTCTTCAACATTGTTTTTTACCTCTGATTGTTATTCATCTTGTGAACCCTTTAATATGCACAGGGAAGATGCTGAGAATTAAAAAACCAAAGATCATCTTACTGCAACTAGACCTCTAAGGCTGGAATCTTACAGAGGGGAAAAAAGAAGAAGAAAAAAAAAAGGAGAAATGCTCACTATTACAGCAATGTTTTACTCTGAACATACACTGCTCAATATAATATGGGAAAAACAATGTAAACCTAACCAAAAGCGTTTGGCTTTTTGAGGGAAGAAAAAGTTATCTGTTCTTACCTAGTTTGAAAATAACTAAAGAAAGCAAAAGGCTTACTGACTCTGGAAGCCCCTTATAGAAGAATTTACTGCAAACTCTGAAATTAGGAAAAGATAATATCAGTGGTAACTAGCAACAGGAAAGACAAAATATAGGTACAGTAGTATTTTCTTTTCACCACCAGAGGGATTTGAAGTGATAAATTTAATATGCTACTGATGGGGTAAGGTAGTTTGTTGCCATCAAACCTTAAAAAGCGCAAGGAGACTTCCAAACTTGGCTGCACATTTATAATGTCAACCAAAACTGGGCACAAACGTGAATTTTATCAACTTGCAGGCATCACTTTTTCTAAATGGTAGCAGATATCGTTGCAAGAAGCAACATATTCAACTACAAATATACAAGTCTCCATGCAAAGGAAGGGATGGAGAGAAGGATCCTAGGTGACTGAGATATCTTGGTGGTGGAGCACGGAGTGTAGCCCCACGACTGAGTAAACCGGTTGTGGGACGTCTTGCGAGAGAAAAGGGGTGTGTGACACTTTGTGCAGCACAGTGACCTCCCGAGCCAGCCCGGGGGCGAGGGAAGCGCGCAGCCCAGGGACTGCCCGAGCCTCATGGGGGGCAAGGGAAGGAAATGGCGTTAAGGGTGTAAACCGTGACTGACTGACGCGGGTGGGCACCGAGCCGGCTCTGGGAGGACGGGGGGGGGGGGGCCTTACCTGAGAGAGTTGCCTGGGGTTGGGGCAACCGAAGAGCGCGGAGCTGGAGCTGAAACTGATGGCCCCTCTGCGGCTGAGGACATGCTGCGGGACCGGCCTGTCCAGGGGCAGCACCGGCAGCTGGTAACATACTTCCATTGAAGAGCCTCTGCGCTCCGAGCAGCGCCAGGGCACCGGCCGCCGCACCTGCCTGCACCGGGAATCGCCGCAGCGCGACGGGGGCGGGGCGGCAAATGTGCCAGAAGGGATAAAACCAGCAATTAAAACACAGAGGGGCCCGGCTCCGCCTCACCCCCCGCCCCCGGGTCTGGACGGGTACCGGGCTCCTCCCCCGCCGCCCCAAGAGTCGCGTCTGGGCGGGCTGATTCCTCCCCGGAGCCCGCAGGGGTCCTTGAGCCGCAGCCGCCGCAGGGGGGCGGGGAAGCGGGGCCGGCAGCTGAGTGCTGTCAAGGAAGGAGGCGGCGAGTCCCGGGCCGAGCCCCGCAGCGCGGCCGCTGCCTCCCGCTGTCTCTGCTGCTGCTGCTGCTGCTGGAGGGAGCCGCTGCCGCTGTTAGCCCCGCAGCCGGGCCGTCCGGGCGCCGCTCATGGAGGCGGGCGCTGGTGCCCGGGGGTCCGCTTTGGGTGAGACACACTCGGCACTGCTATTGTCCGGCACGAGGAGGCGGCGCGCGCTCCGGGCGGGAGGGGCCGGGGCGCTGCGGTCCCGAGCGAGCCAGTGGGCGGGGGGAGCCCGCGGGAAGGAGGAATGCTGCGCCCGGGCCGCCCGCACTGAGAACAGCCCCGAGCGCAATCGCCCAAGAAGAGGCACGAGCCGGACGGACTCTGTGCGTGTGTGTATGTACGCGACGCGCGAGCCCGGCCGGCTCCACGCAAATCGTCATCACGTAACGGCGAGGGGGGGGATATTTTGGAGACAAGCGGTGCGGTGCGGTCCGGGCCAGTTCGACTCTCTTTTGCGCATGCGCGATATTTTCGCGGCTTGGGATCTTTCTGCCGTGTTAGAGAGGGTTGCAAGTGGAGCGCGCGCCTAGCGCCGCCCGAGCTCAGCGTCTGGGCCGCTGCCCCATTGGTGAACGGGGGGTGAGGGAGGGGAAAGAGAAAAGCAGACTAAGAACGTTTCCCGCGTAATCTCAGCCCAGCCACGCCCCTGCTCGCTGTGTGTGGCCCAGGCCCGGGTCCGGGGGTGTGACGGTAACATGGGCGGGGGCGCCGCACGTTAGACCCTCTTCCAGGGGGGCCTCAGGGCTGCCGGCCAGATACTGGGCAGCAGCTCTGGGGACAGCTGTGTTCAGCAGCGTCTCAAGCCTGCCTGATTCCAGCGGGAAACAGCAACCTGCTGAGCTGGGAGCAGGAGCTGCGGGTCCTGCTCTGGCAGGTGACCATAGGTCCATGTTTTCTGGGGACAGTCCCTGTCTGAGGCACTGTATCCCTAGGTAAACAATGTCCCCAGAAGAGTCCCCGGTTCACAAAACTCGTCCCCGAATACCGTTGTGATGTGAATACCCTTTCTTCTTCTTCCAGTCCTGTCCCTGTGGGTGCTCCACTCTAGGTGTCGGTGCGTCCCAGAGCTGTTGATTGGAGATTTTCGGTAGCAGTGCCTGGTCGGGACGCACACACTCAGTTGGTATCTCCTGTCTCGTTGGTCTCTTCCTGAGCGCCTGCAACCCGCACCCCCCTCAGTTCCTTCTCAACCGTCCCCGGCTGAAGATGGGACTTGAGGCACTGCTGCTTCTCTTCCCTGGTCTCTATGGGGAAAAAAGTATCAAAGAATATAGAAATAGTTATTAGTTACATCCTAGTTGTTTCCCTTCCTTTAGTGTAGTTACATAGTTAATTACTTAGTTAAAAAAAAAAAACTTCCCTCCTTCTGAAACACTTTCCCCTGCCATTTCTAGTTCACAATGCCAGGGGCTTCAGGATTCAAAAAAAGAAAAGGAGTACTTGTGGCACCTTAGAGACTAACCAATTTATTTGAGCATGAGCTTTCGTGAGCTACAGCTCACTTCATCGGATGCTCACGAAAGCTCATGCTCAAATAAATTGGTTAGTCTCTAAGGTGCCACAAGTACTCCTTTTCTTTTTGCGAATACAGACTAACACGGCTGTTACTCTGAAACCAAGGATTCAAAAAGTGTGTTTCCTGTCAGGACTCCATGACACGGTCCGATGAGCGCTCACATTGTGTGAAGTGCCTCGGGGAAACATACATTCCCACTGTACGAGCCTCAAGTCAGGGGCTCGGCGTGACAGGAACCTGCGGCTTAAAATGCCTCTGATGGAAAAATCCCTGCAGCCGCTCCTACACGGTCCCCGGCCAGATCCGAACCAGTGGGGAGCGCAGCCCAGGGAGCAGGAGCAATAGTTCCTAACTGAATGTGACCTATCAGTACCACCTGAGCTTAACTCTCCACTCCTGGATACACAGGGCTCACTCTTCGAACAGCCGCTCTCACCACCTGAACTGGCTATCTTCACTGACAGCAAACCCAATATACAGCAGCAGGTGGAGTTCTCCCCATCTGCCTCTCCTCCTTCACCAGACCCTCTTCCACCTCAGGCTATGGTCCTCAGCCACCAGCCTCAGTTTCCCAACTTCGCCCTCCCATGGACGGCATCTGGGTTCTCCTACCCTATGCCTTGGCCCCAGTGGTACCCTTGGCCCCATCCTCCTACCACTCATCCTCAGACCTCTTCCACGAAACCACTACCTGCTTCTGTGCCTCGATCTCCAGCTCCGTCCACTTCTAGAGTACCTGAACCACCTCCTGAGAACGTGAGCTACGAACCATACCCTGACTCACCGACCTCTAATTCTCCATCTGCTCCAGACGGAGCCCTCTCCCCCACTCCTCCACAGAACGTGGACAACTGTAAACAATTTCAAGAGCTTTTCAAGAGGGTGGCACTCAGTCATGACATCCCCCTAGAAGGGATTCAGGAGACACAACACAAACTTCTCAGAATCCTTCAACCCTCTGCACCTTCAAAGATCGTGGTCCCTATAAATGAAGCACTCCTGGAACCAGGTGACACTCTGGCAAACTCCAGCTTCTTTATTACCTACCTGCAGAAAGGCCGAACGTAAATACTATGTTCCTGCTAAGGATGCTGACTTCCTATTTCTCACCCACAATCGAACTCTCTCATCATGGATACAGTCGCACAAAGGATGAAACAGCCACAATATCGGCCCACCGTGCAAGACAAGGACCTTAAACGCCTTGACGTCTTGGGATGCAAGGTTTATACGTCCTCCACTTTACAATTCAGGATTGCAAACCACTCTGCACTCCTCGCCAGCTATGACTTTGATAACTACAATAAACTTTTTTAATTTGCCTCCTACATTCCAGAGGATAGGAAAACGGACTTCAAATCAATTCTGAGCGAGGGCCAATTGATTTCCAGAACAGCCCTACAAGCCTCTTTAGGCACGGCAGACACAGCAGCCCGTACTACTGCAACTGCTATGGTTATGCACAGATCTTCATGGCTTTCTGCATCTGGCATCCCTAAAGATCTGCAGATGAAAGTGAAGGACCCCCCTTTTGATAAAGACGTGCTGTTTTCCAAAAAACTGATGAACTACTTCACACTATGAAAGATTCTAGAGCGACACTGCACACCCTGGGTATTCACCTATCTCTTTCCAGGAGACAACAATACCAACCTTACCAAAGACTGCGCACACAACAATATTATCGGCCTCAACCCAAACCACGTAACATAAATAGGAATCGCTCTAGACCCCCTAAGCACAGACAAAATCAAGCTCAAGCAACGACCTCCCACCCATCCAGGAATAAGCAACAATTTTAAAATGTTGGTCAAGGGTCTGCACGACCACCTCTTGATTCCACAGCCTACTTGCCCATTTGGCCACCACTTCCAGAGTTTCCAACATGCCTGGCAGCGTATTACACAGGATCGCTGGGTCCTCGAAATAGTTCAGTCCGGTCACTCTATCCCATTCATATCCTATCCTCCTACCCTTCCCCCTTCCCCATCCCTCCTCAGGGACCCCTCCCACAAGCACCTGCTTCACATAGAAGTGGAACCTGTGCCGACGCAACATTGAGGGAAAGGGTTCTACTCTCATTTCTTCCTGACCCAGAAAAAGACCAGGGGATGGAGGCCTATACTAGATCTACGCCGACTGAACAAATTTGTGAGTATACAAAAATTCAAGATGGTCACACTGGGCACAATAATTCCTGCACTGGATCAAGGGGACTGGTTCACAGCCCTCGACCTACAGGACGCTTATTTTCATATATCAATTCATCCAGCTCACAGACGCTTCCTACGACTCACAATCGGTCACGACCATTTTCAATTCAGAGTTCTTCCTTTTAGTCTCTCCACAGCGCCAAGAGTCTTTTCTAAAACTCTAGCCGTGGTCGTGGCTCACCTCCACAAACATGGAATCACGCTTTTCCCCTACCTGGACGATTGCCTCATCAAAGGCAACTCCTATGGCGAGACACTTCAAGCTACCCGTTTCACCATCTCCCTCTTTCACAGCCTAGGCCTCCAAATAAACATCCAAAAATCCACCCTGACAGCTACACAGCAGATCGAGTTCATCGGAGCTCATCTCAGCTCAAGCCAGAGCAGAGCCTCACTCCCATATCACAGATTCCTTGCTATCATGCAGCTTATACGCATGCTCGCTATTCGTCCCAGGACACAGACAGGAATCTGTCTACAGCTCCTTGGTCACATGGCAGCCACCATCTTCGTGGTCCAGTGTGCCAGGCTACACATGATGTCTTCAGGGTTGGCTCAATTCCAATTTCAAACCCAACAGATGCACCTTAGGGACGCTGCTAACTCCTCCTCCCAATGTTCTAGCTTCCCTACATTGGTGGACAAGACCAGAAAGCCTCTGCATGGGGGTTTCCTTCCAGCAATGATCCCCAACGCTCATGCTCACCACGGACGCTTCCCTAATCAGTTGGGGAGCGCATCTAGGGGGACAGAGGGCACAAGGCCGGTGGTCCGCATCAGAAACGCACCTACACATAAATCTCTTAGAGCTCAGAGCAATGAGGTGAGCGTGCCTTTACTTTCTTCCCCTCATAAAGAACAAATCTGTTTGGGTCTTAACAGACAACATAGCATGTATGTACTACATCAACAGACAAGGGGGAGCAAGATCACATTCCATTTGCATGGAAGCCATCCGACTATGGAATTGGTGCATACAACATCAAGAACAAATCATCGCTTCCTACCTACCAGGCTGCCACAACACTACTGCAGATGCACTCATCAGACACTTCTCAACAGAACACGAATGGGAACTGCATCCCGCAATACTTCAACAGCCCTTCTCCCTCTGGGGCATCCCGTCAATAGATCTCTTTGCCACACCCCAGAATCGAAAATGTCAGCTGTTTTGCTCCAGAGCGGGACTTGGGACTGCATCCCTAGGAAACACGTTCCTCATCCCGTGGAACAACTCTCTCTACGCCTTCCCACCAATCCCTCTGCTACACAGGGTTCTTCGGAAGATTGTAGATGACAAGGCCTGGATCATCCTTATTGCCCCAGCTTGGCTGAAACAGACGTGGTATCCTTACCTCCTCCGCATGTCCTCCCATCATCCATGGGCTCTCCCCAACAGGCCAGATCTTCTTTCCCAAGACAACAGACAGGTTATTGCCCCAGCTCCAAAAGCTCCACCTAACAGCCTGGTTCCTTCATGGTTCCAAACCCATGAACTAGCCTGTTCCGAGCAAGTCTGATACATCCTCCTGCACAGTAGAAGAGACTCCACTCATAAAACTTACCTGCAGAAGTGGAAGCGTTTCACCCCCTGGTGCTCACGTAATCACTTAACGCCCAATACAGTGACCCTCCCTAACATTTT